CATAAAAAAGTCCTACACTCGTCTTAACTTAATCTACTGCAATGCAAACCATGAAATGCAAATTAAAACAATGATAATGTGTTTAAGTTTGAAAGTTGAATACCAAAGGAAGGGGGAGAAGGAATAACCCAATCACCAGGGGAAAGACCCTTAACACCAGACCCGACCGCGTAAACCTCTCCAACACCTTCATAGCCTCCAACTGCCGGCGGCACAGGCCTCACTGGATAAACCCCTGTATCAAACAATTGCACAAAAATCTCATTCAAAACCCTAAAATAACCAAAACAAAACCAATCAAAATTCACAAAATTGCATCTCAATATAATGCAGCAAAAATTTATATACCTTCAATTCGATTAATATCAGAAGGATTGATGGGAGCAGCAAGCATTTTAACACAAACATCATTTGCTTTGATTTCAACCGGCGGAAATTCCACTATTCTGCAAATTAAAACCCTAGAAAAGTTAACGAGATGAATTGAGAAAGTGTAATGTAATGAGGAGAGAGAAAGAGAGAGAAGGTGGGACCTGGTGAGTTGGTCAGGTGGGCCATGCTGATCGTAAACCACCGCCATTGACGGCGGAGACATGATCGCCGCTGAGAAAGCGCGGACATAATTCCGACGAAGAGGAAGTTGGCGTGAACCAAAGTGAAACGACGCAGTTTTGTAAGCTGATCTTAGAGCAAGTAGCTTCATTGCCGCCATTTTTCTTCACCTTTTTACTGCAAAGCTGGATTGCTGGAGTATAGCACTATAGCTCTAGAAGACACAAGACTTATCAGTAAGACGACACGGTGTCGTTTTTCTTTTTTTGTTTTTTGACAATGGATAACGGTGTCGTTTTTCTTACAAGGGAAAAGTGAGATTTGATTAATGTTAGTCGATTTAAATCATTTTGTAATTTAAGACTTTGTTGTTGTTGTTAAAAGGTAAGAAAATAATAATGGAGGTGTTTTGGCAAATGACTTTTTGATGGCTTTTATTATCAGTTTTTGGTTTTTGACTTTTTATCTTGGTCAAACAGCTAAAAAAAGTGTTTGATAAATGACTTTTTTTGCTAGCTGAAAAGCCGGCTTTCCGCCAAAAAAAAAAAAAAAGAAAAGGCATTTTCCTTTCCAACTTTTAAATTACTTTCATATCCTTTTTTTTTTTTGCTAATAATTAATAATTTTATTATTATTATTATGGATTATAAAAATTATGTATATTACATAGATAATAAAATACACCAATGTCCTTATAGGTCATTTTCATGTAAAACAACCAGCATTTAACACCCAATTTATTAATATAAAATTTTACGTAGTACAAATTAATTCACTTACTATACTCATACTTGGCACTCTTTTTCTCTCACCTTTAATCGATATCTCTTTAACATTTTTATTTTTGTACTCCATGTATAAAGAAATAGCCTAAGTGTTTTATCTCTTTACTTGCCTAAAACTGTTATGCCAAATTGCAAGTGTTGCAAATAAATGTTGAACTAGTATATATATTTTGAGATGATGATGGACCAATACGATAATAGGTGGTCAAAATGATACACGCACGGGTGATTAATATCAACGGAATAATAGCTGGCCGGATTGGGGTGATAGGGATGGTGGTGGGGAGGGGGATGGTTGGTGATGTGATTGGAGGTACTAAACGATGAGAAGATAAAAGGAGAGGAGGGCAAAATGATCAATTTCATTTTTCGTAATACAATAGTGTGATTGTATTACGTAATTAATATTCTCATCTAACAATTCACAATTTTGTCTCACCCCAACTATTTCATAATTTCAATATATTGTCATATGTTGAATTATGTGAAAATTAAATCCCCTTATCATAACAAGATAAGTGGAAATAAAAATCATTCAAGAGTGTCAAAATAAGGAAAAACAAAAGAGAAATACAAGCTTGAAATATCCCACAAATCCACAATATAGATTTGAGAATAAAATTGGAATATATATAGAAGCTTGTTTTATTACAAAGAGGTCACATCATTGGTGTGACCACTATTTAAGCATTAAAATGGTCGGCGGCCGGCGGCCATTCTATACCACCGATGGCCACTATTATTTGACATCGGCAAGCATTTGACTATAATTTTACACAATTAATTACTTGTATTTTCTTAATTGGTGGTCCTCATTTCTGTTCGATTTCTTGAAAAATGCATATTATTGGTTTGGGCCCACAAAACAATATGAACCTAGGTTGGTGAATGTTTCACTTGGGAACTTTGACCCCTACATTTTTATTATTTGTATATACTGTATGTCTATATGATCATAAATCTATGCCTAGGCCCATTTTTTTCTTTTTATTTTTTTTTAAAACAAAAATTAATATGATTTCTTTCAATAGTATTTTTAATTTTTTTTTTTTTTAATAAGAAAAAGTAAACAAGAAGTTAGGATAGTTTTCTCTAAAAACTATACCTTAACTTCTTCAAAAAATACTATACCCTAACTTATTTTCGATAGTATTTTCATACAACAAAGTTGATTAATTCCTTCACCATAAACTATCACTGCATATGTAATTTGGTTATGCAAGATGTCCTATGTCACAGTTCTTATACTTTGAGAGTATTCCTAGAATCCTAGGTTCTTAAGGAATAGCCGAGTAAGGATCATTATATATTTATATTTACATTCACTGCTCATAAAAAACACTATAGTAAGATCTTGACTAATGTTTGTGAAACTAAATACTTGCTTAGCTCCATTTCTACTTTTTGCACTATTTATATGTCCTACTTTGATTAATGTTTGTGATTTATACATAAGAAAAAAAAAAATATAGTCTTGTGGGTACTTGTTGGAATCGTCTCAATAAATAGATTATTAATTTTCAATTGTTAGAATTTATACTTAATGATAATTAAAGATATTATTGATCAAATATCAGCATTGGCATACGTGCCCAAGAGAAATGGAACAAGTAGTTAAAAACGGAGGGAGTACAAACTATTAGTAAGATCACCATTACGAATACTTTGTATATATACAAAATACTTCGTATTTGATTTGGTTTCTTTTTATAAGTGTGTTTTCTTAAAATGGAGCCCTTGGTTTTGTTGGTAGTATAGGGCCTCCAAAATGTTTAAGAAAACCTTAGTTTCATTTTGACCGGGTATGAAATATATTAGTAAGAGTTAGCTTGGAAGACTACATTATTATTAACTTTATACGGATTAAAAATTAAGACAATGTGACAACTAATGGTGAACAAATTACAATTTCATATTGTATATTTTATAGTACTCATAAAAGTTCATCAAAAAATATCTTAAACACGATTCAATTAACTTGTTTTTCAACTCTGATAATAATGATAGAAATCAACTATGAAAGCCAATAAAGTTATTAAACTAACGTTTTAATTTGGATGATGAACTAATTAATGAGAATTATTTAGCATTCCAATCGATTTGCAACAATCAAAACCCATTAGAAAGCATGAGTTGCATGCTGATTTCAGCTTAGCTTGTCCCTTTTACAAATACAACATGTGTACGAATATGACAAAGGTATATTCAAAAATCGATCAATGCCTTATAAAGTTATCCACCATTTATTTGATTCTAACGAATTTACACATTGACAGATTGACTATTATATGCTTCACCACTAATCCTGAGATAATGATACAAAGATTAATTAAATTATCATTGATTAATGTCACTTCTAGCTAATGTTACATACTATTTCTTGCTTATGTGTGTGCATCACAAAACTGAAAAAACGGCCGACCAATTTTTTCAGTGGCAAACTTTAATTAGTTATTAGCTCAACTAATCCTAAGTTTGTCATGAGAAATTACATGATAGGAGTATGAGTCATTTCTAAAGCTGTCGACATTCGACACGTGTAAAGTGGAGTGAGATAATGTTATGATCAATGAATCTAAACCGTCCATATGTTGAAACCTTGGAATATAATTTTTAGATTCCTTATTAAACTTTATTTCACGCAAAGTAAAATTAATTAATTGATTAGGGTATGTACTTTATAATAGCATGAGCTCGGCAATCTGCATGGTAATATTATTATAGAAAATAAATGGTGAATGGTTATTGACACATGGCAAAATTAGGTGGTCGAAAAATTGGGGTTTTAGTTTAAATAGCTTAAATTTGTTTGAGTTGTTTCTTTCCAAACAAATCTAATAATCCGTAGCTTACAAGTTAGTGCACGATTGTTTGAGGGCTAATTGGTTAACCACGCCTATTGGATTTGATAAGGATTCTTTTAGTTTTCATTCGGTTTGTGACTTTAATTTAAGGGAAAAATAAATTTAATAAATGGGGCATTTACTTATGTTAGTTACGTGGTTGTTTAGTCATACGTAGGAAATATCACAACTAGTGATGAAGTTGAAATTTTCAAAAAGTTTTCACCTACATTGACATTTTAAAAACTAGAGGCTGTTAAACAATTTAGTCAAGTGAACATTTCTTATTTACATTTTATGTCAACCAAATCCAAAAAAATAATGGATTATTATTATTATTAGGCAAAAGCTAACAAGCGTCCCCGAAGCGTTAGATAAGAGTATTAAAAGCAGAAATATTAGAATAAAACTAACATTAATTACACCGAATGACACGTGATTTTGTCATGCATTCATAACTTAATGCATTCATAACTTATTACTATTTTAAGCAATATATTCATTAGTTACCTAACGCCCCGGGGCGCTCGTTAGCAAGATCCTTATTATTATTATTATTATTATTATTATTATTATTAAATTTAATACGTAATGTGTCATACTATTAGTTGATGGCGTATTAAGTTGGGGTTACCGAAAAACAATGAAGTTAGATTCAAAAGATAAAGATATTACTACAATAATGCATATATACATATATGATGCTTAACTAATTTATAACAATAAGGTTAGTGATTTCATTGATGGGGACACCTCTTCTTGGAAAGCCGGAAAGGTAAGGGAATGTTTCGAATGGGGTTCGGCTAAAGCAATTCTTTCAATGGAACTTTCGAGGGAAAGTGAGGATGATTTCCTATACTGGAAATACCATCCATCAGGTAGATATACTATTAAAACAGGATACTACTACCTGACAAAGGAACTTGGGTTAGAGAGCTCAACCTTCTTGGCAAGGGATCAAGACTTTGTCAAGCTGTTATGGAAAATGAAGTTACAACCAAAGTGGAAGCTCTTTCACGATGGGATAGCTGTCAAAGTAAATTTGGCTAAGAGGGGATTTCAAATTGATACAGTATGTGATCACTGTAGAGCTGGTAATGAGGATAGCCAACATCTGTTTAGGTTTTGCACTCAGGCAAAGGAAGTTTGGGACTCTGAACCTCTAAATATTTGCCTTGACTTTTACAGGTCTTTCTCTTTGAAAAGATGGATCCAACACTATATCCTGCTCTTCTATAGCGAGGATGGTAAGCATGGTACCCGTATTGCTTTGTTCATTGCGACGCTTTGGGGTTTGTGGAAATCAAGGAATGAGAGATGTTTCAAGGAAGTGGATGGGACGACGAGCCGAGTAAAAGAATTTATATACCGTGCAATGCAGGACCATGAAATCCTTATAAATCAAGACAGTTTAGCAGATGAATCGGAGGCAACAAGTAGGGATAGTTCAGACTTTCCACCGGGGTTCAATCATGTCCAATTAGGGAAAGAAAATGGGGGTTTTGATGATTTTGTCATGGAGACAGATGGTTCTTGGGATAAGAATACTACAAGGGAAGGGATAGGATGGGCGGTTAAGGTAAATAACAAAGGATATGCCCTTGAAGAGGGCGACAAACATGGGGTAGTAGCGTCAGTCATCCATTGTGAAGCATGGGCTTGTCCGGAAGCAATGAAATGGGCTCGTGCTAAGGGGAGACAGGGAATCCTAATCTTTTCGGACTCAGCTTCGTTGTTGAATAATCTACAGGATACGAAAAGGAGAAAGGTCTCGATTACTTGGATTATCAAGGAGTTAAGGAAGATAGGGACGGTGTTCCAGAGATGCACTATTTTAAAAGTTCCTAGAGAGCAAGTTCAAAGAGCTAATGACATTGCAAGACAATGCCGGGTTAATTTAACGAATTAGTACTAGTATTTTTGCTTTCCATTTGCTTTTGTCAAAAAAAAAAAAAAAAAAAAAAACTAATTTATAACAATAAGGTTACTTCTAATACCGATAATTTGAGTTAGTAATTAATCTATAAGTTTTAACAATGTTATCGATATACACAATTTGATAGATGAAGATCGATATTGAATATGTTAGTTGCACCAACAATTGAATGTGTGTAGCAAGTTGATCACACAAAAAGACTAGCTAAACAATCAATCATGAACATCAAGGATCTTTGTTTCTTAATCCATGCTATTTTCTTTCAAACATAACGGTATCCAAGTAAGAATAATTTCATCTTTGAGAGTTGACACCTAGTTTAAGAATAACATGATGTCTATGTATGTGAAAGTAGTCATCCACTATATCACAGAGATCAAATAGATTTTGTGTAATCCACGTCAACATGTCTTCAAAACCAATCTAATTACACAATTCAAAATAATTATTGTCTATATCCATATATATTTTTCAATTAATAGATTTTAAAAAACTGACCTTCAACATTTTTAAAAATCGATATTCAAGTTGATACTTAGTTTTAAATTTTAATATCATATGAGATATATATCGAATAAAAAAAATAAATCCAAACCATCTCATAATCAATATTCAAAATTAATAAAAATCAATTTCCAAATTGATATTCATTCTAGCTTTGAAAAAATAAAATCATACATGGATTGCATTGTACACATCATCTTACTCAGCACCACATCATACTATTTGATTTATAGGTAGACAAATAGTCATCAGAGAATTAAATTCAATAGATGCAAAAAAATTACAGCTGTTAAATGTGGAATACAGCTTGAAGGCAAAGAACATGAATATAAATTTACCGATCCAAAATTAAAAGCAATGAAAATGTGGATAACAGCTTCTTTATAACTATGTAAATGTTGGTCCAATTCCAACAACCCATCAGCTACAACCCTCACCTCACCGCGTTATTCAGGAATAGAGAGGTGGAGCTCACTACCCCAAACAGGGTTTTATTATTGTAATTACGCAGAACCATCCTTAACTGAATTTACTATTTTGCCCTTCCTTAATTCCAGTACGTGGCACGCAATGAGCGGCGCTACCAAACTCAACCGTGTGGCTTCTGTAGGACAACTCAGTCAAAGTGTCCAAATTTTAGATTTCTTTTTCTCAGGAAAAATGCAATTTTGATTAGAGAAACTATTGCGTGCAGATGACCACACGCAAATTTTCGTGCGACTGGCTTGGCCAATATGTTTTACTTGTTGGTTGATATGTTTTATTTGTTAGCTAATATGATTTTTGTGTTGGTTAATATTTTTTTTTTATTGGCTAATATATATATATTTTTTTTCCTTTTGTTGGCTGATACCAGACATCATTTGGCTTATATGTTTCTTTAGTTGACTGATATATTTATTTTGTTGGCTGATATGTATATTTTAATTGTTAGCTTATATGTTTCATTTCGTTGGCTGATATGTTTATTTTGTTGGTTTACCTGTTGCTTTTGTTGGCTGATATGTTTCATTTGTTGGCTGATATGTTTATTTTGTTGGCTTACCTGTTGCTTTTGTTGGCTGATATGTTTCATTTGTTGGCTGGTATGTTCCTTCGATTTGCTGATAAGTACCTTTTGTTGGCTTATATATTCATGGCTAATATATTCTTTTTGTTGACTGATATGTTTTTATTAATGTTTTTAATGTTGGCTGATATCAAACATGAATTGACTGATATGTTACTTGTATTGGCTGATGTATAAAGTATATACAAGTACAAACTGTTTTTATTTCATTCTCTCTCCTCTTTCCCCCTCTTCCTCTCTTTCTCTATCTTTGTTTCTCCATATCCCCAAATAAGAAATGAAACAAACAATTCCCCCAACTACCGCCCAATATATAGCCACCATCAAACCACCAACGTTGATCCTCAATTGCCGCCCAACCCTCGACCATTAGTGTTCACAACATCGCACCACCTCCAACCGAAACCACCACCAAAGGCGTCGGTGGCCATCGCGGCGATGACCGTAAGAAGGCCGTCCTTTAATCCGTCAAAGCCGACCTTCAATTCCCCGTCGGTCAAATCAATTGTTTCCTCAAAAACGGCTGTTACGCTCAACGTCTTAGCTCCGCTTCCCCCGTTTACCTCGTTGTTGTCCTTGAATACCTTGCTGCTGAGGTACATTCAAATATTTTCTCCCTTTTACAGATTTTTTTGGAATTTTTTTTTTTTTTTTTTTGGGGGGGGGTGTTGAATTTGAAATGGTGGTTGAAACTGTTGGTTTTAGGTGTTGGAGTTAGCAGGGAATGGAGGTTTAAGGTTGAATCTGAAATGAAGGATCAATTCCTCAGTGCCACTACCTTCTCGCTGCACAAACACTTGGATGCGAGTGCCCGCACCCAATAGTTTGTGTTTTGATTATTATTATATTTATACAAAATTGGTTACATCCTCATTAAATGACAAAAGTGACTTTTTTTCAAAGCGTGATAGATATTAACCACTTAATATATTTCATAAAATTAATTTCTTGATTTATTTTTGGAATGCAGAAAATATTTACAAAGTATGTCAGAAATGTATCATATTTCAGTCTATTCATAAAATAGTTTTTTTTATAGGATAAATAAGACACGAATGTTTGGAAGAACACATAGTAAATTAATTTTTAAAAATATATAGACTTTAAGTATTCACACCAAATGCAATTTCTTTTAATTATAATGTAACATTTTTAATTTGTGTGGAGAAAAGTCCGTTACAACACTTAATAATAGATGCTTTTTCATACTTGTTTTATTCACATACTTTTCATTTTGTTTTTTAGTCGAATCTATCAAGAGTCGTGGTAATCTTTTTTTGAAAGTAAATTTGTGGTAAATTTTATTCAAGTAATTCTTATTTTTTTTTCACAATTTATTTTCCTAAAAGAATATAGGGAATAAAATACATATTTTATACAATGTTGCGCACTTACGCTATAATTTTGTATTAACTAATTACGAAATATTACGTGATTATTAAGTGGAAAAAAAACCAATAGGAGTTTTAAAAATGATAACCATTTCAAAATTTGAAAATGTGTTTACATTATTACCCCCTAAATATAAATATTTTTATGTTTCAAAAATGAAATATTTGTCTACTGTACATTACCAAACCCCAACACTCTCTGCCTTGTCTCACACCCAAAAATTAAAAGCAAAAACAAAAATAAAAAAGGAATGCAAAACACAGATAATAAAAAGAAAAGGAGAGAGAGTAAAAGAAGAGAAAGAGAAAAATTGTCAATTTATTTTTTTCATTTTTGAAGAAGTGAAGAGGGGCGGGTGCTTTGCTTGTTGTTAGTCACCCTCCTCTAAATTTTTTCCCCAAATTTTTCTCATAATTTTTTGATTGGGTTGTTTGTTTTTTGTAAATTTGACAATAGAACAGAGAAACAAAGAACAAAGGATGAAGAAGATGGGTTGTTTTTGTGGGTGTTCTGGAAATTCAAACAAGAAAAAGCGATCAGAAAACCCTAATCATAATCATAAAGATTTTGTCAATTCTAATTTTAAGAATAAAGCCCAGGATCGTACATCTTCTACTGCAGGTAATCAAACTTTCCCAAATGAATAATTAAGAAATTTTCTGGGTTTTTGAGTTTATGTTTAATTTTCTGGGTTACATTGATTAATTTCGTTGAATTTTGATCATTTAATTTGAACCCACCTTTTCTTTTCATCTGAATTCACATCAATTGTACTTCAATCAACTGAAATGGGTTTTAATTTTGGGTTAATCTCATCCTTAATTACAGGGGAATTTGGTGCTGTATACTTTTTATTAATATGTTGATTCATGTTAATTTTCTGCAAATGTAACAAAACAAATTCACTTTTCATTTTCGAAATTTAAAATTTTCAAATTTTTTTTCTTGTATATGAATAGTTGGGTGGTTGAATTTAATTAATTTTCTGAGTTTGTATTATTTAATTCTGGGTTTGTTCATGTTTATAAAAATCTGATGTTGATTTTTGTACTTCATCATGCATGCTTAATTCTTTCATGATGATTGTCATGTCAATACGTAGTCTCTCATGCCCATATTCTTACAGTTTTATACGTCTCTTATTGCTCATTTGTTTGACTTTTACCCTTTCAATTTATCATTACTCTTTTTACTGAATTATTAGGCTATAATAATTAACTTGAAGAATTTTTCACTTTTCATTTTTTTTTTAATGCATGTTAAATTTCACACTATTTGGTATCATTGTCTAGTAGTACTTAGTTTTGATGTGGTTTATAGACGAATCAGCTGCTAAGCAACAATTGAACTCCAGGAGGGATGTTAATGCAAGGAAGGAGGAGGCTAGGGAAGTGGTTATTCCATCTTCGGATGCTAGACCGACGGATGGTAGGGTGTCGGGTGTGACAGATGTTACCGTCGAAGGTGACCCTAGTAGGTCCAAGGCACGGACGTTTACATACCAAGAGCTCGTGGATGCAACCGATAATTTTCGATCAGGCTTCCTAGGCGAGGGTGGCTTTGGCAAAGTCTATAAAGGGAAATTATTGGATACTAGTGAGGTCGCTTTGTTAATCTTGTTCTTTGTATTATGTTAGATGTTAATTTTTTGTATTTATTTTAGCTCTGATTCATTTTGAATATACTTTCTGCTGTTTACCCTGGTCATATGCCAGAAATGGCAGATGATGGTAGTTTCTAGGAGTAACATATGCCTTTTCTGATACAGGTGGTTGCCATCAAGCAACTTGATCGTAATGGAGTACAGGGTATCAGAGAATTTGTTGTTGAAGTGTTGACACTTAGTCTAGCTGATCACCCTAATCTTGTGAAATTAATTGGGTACTGTGCTGAGGGTGATCAGAGGCTGTTGGTGTATGAGTACATGCCACTAGGATCCTTGGAAAGCCATCTACACGGTACATAGGCGTCTCAGTGTGTTTTTTGCTACAATTAGACCTACTCTTGAGATTTTGTTTCATATCCTAATGGATTATTTGTATTTGCTTTGATAATGATTCCCGCAGACCTCCGAAATAAACAGAAGGCTCTTGATTGGAACACAAGGATGAAGATAGCTGCTGGAGCAGCTAGGGGCTTAGAGTATTTGCATGACAAGATGAAGCCACCTGTAATATACCGTGATTTGAAATGCTCAAATATCTTGCTTGGTGAGGGCTATCATGCTAAACTATCGGATTTTGGGTTGGCCAAAGTGGGTCCAGTTGGTGACAATACTCATGTCTCGACTCGGGTGATGGGTACATATGGTTATTGTGCACCAGATTATGCAATGACGGGTCAGCTGACTTTTAAATCAGATATATACAGTTTTGGTGTTGTTTTATTGGAGCTTATCACAGGAAGAAAAGCAATTGATAACACAAAAGACGGCCGTGAACAGAATCTGGTTGCTTGGGTAAGAATTGCTGTTCCATCTGTTGGATTGGTCTATTTTTACTTGAGCCTTTTATGACATTCATGTGATTTTCTTTTTGTTTATGTGATTCATGTGATTGGTCTGAAATATTAGCTTCTTGCAAACTTTAGTTGCATCTGATTTGGTTGGATCCAGGTTTTTACGTATAAAACCTTAGTCTAAATTGGTTGATTATATATACATCAGCTTACTCATGAGGTTCCATATCTGAGAGACAGAGAGCAAAGTTAATGATTATGATTAAAATCTTAGTCCAGATTTTTTTTGCTTACTAAATATGGAAAGTAATTATTAGAAGTTCCATGTCCTTTAGAGGTTGAAACCTCTGATGCTTTCCTTTAAATCCATGTAATTATTGTGCATGATTTTTTTCCATGTCAGGGTCTTGCCTTTACTGTCCAATTATATGTGTTGTTTGAATCCAAGCTTTATCTCAAACTATATGGGCTGATATTATTTGTCTGATGCAATATGGAAATTACAATCAAGCTTTGATAAATTGTCTTGAAATTTTGTGCATCTCTAGTAATTAGGTTGTATATTTACTATTTTAGGTCACATGGCTGCTGCACTGAAGTTCTATTCGTAAGGTGCTTAAAAGCTTATCTGCTTCCCTACTGTGCATGATTCTAGGAAATTTTGGAAAATCTTCTCTGTTGCTTAGTCAATACTCAATATCTATCTCTTTATTGTTGTTCGTAAGGTGCTTTAGGAATTGTTGTTTGTTTTTTTTGAAATACCGGTGTGCCATGATAATGCCCTGTTGCAGACTTTCTAAGATCAGCTTTACTATACAAGGAGTGAGATCACTCTTCTAAGTTAATATTGTTGTCACTGCTTTATATCTGGCCTGGACTTAGTGCTTCAAGTTGGCTAACTTTTTCTAAATTGCTTGCAGGCAAGACCATTGTTCAAAGACAGAAGGAAATTCTCTCAAATGGCAGACCCAGCACTTCAAGGCCAATATCCCTCAAGAGGATTGTATCAAGCTCTTGCAATCGCTGCAATGTGTGTTCAAGAGCAACCTACTACAAGGCCTTTCGTAGCTGATGTGGTCACAGCTTTAAATTACCTTGCTTCTCAGAAGTATGATCCTGAGACGCATACTCCCCACCATCGAAGAACCCCATCTTCCTCCAACAATAAAAAAGATTATCGTGATAGTAAGAAGCCTGAAGCTGAAGACAGCCGAAGTGAGAATGATTCAGAAGACTAGATGGAATATTCAAATGAAGTATATCCAGTATAGTTCTTGCATATTGAAAGATTTTTATTTTTTTTGATATTGTTCATACGAGTGGGCGCTCTGTTATCGAATTTTGTAACGCTCAGATAACAGGTGTGACTTCAACCATATTGACAGGACCGGAGTTTCTCCACCTCTTCCGCTCTGCTGTGTACATGTTTGACGTGGATCGTTCTTTTTCTCTTCTGTTTTTTGTATGTAAGAATTAAGATGCCTATACTGTAGTTCTTACATCAATAATAATGATTGTAGTTCTTACATCATGTTCCTCTGTTTTGTCATCTGAAGTCCAGTACTGGATCAAACGTCCCATCTAGTAACTAGTTCTTCCTGATATTGGCATCTGCATATGTAAGTGAATGCTGATTTGAATAATAGGTGATGGAGTATAAGACGGGATCCAGAATACTGTAATATGGAGTAGTATATAAGTTGGAGCAGTAATGCAGTTTGAAGGGTTGCGACCCCTTACATGTTCAGATTCATGAGAAGGATGGTAATTGCGGAAGTTTTTGTACTGTAATTGTGGAAGTTTTTTGCATTGTAAATTTGTAACTGAAAGTTATGGATGGTAATTGCGAAGTTTTTTGCACTGTAATTGTGGAAGGTTTTTGCATCATCATTGAAAGTTCTCAGGAGTGATGTTTGTTGTATACTTGCCGTGTACCAGGTTCTGGTAAGACGTCAATTTTTCTGCATACATGCCGCGTACTAGGTTTTGATTTTCGCTTAAAATATCTAAGGACAGAGGTCTCCATAATTTTAGGCTTATTAACTTTTTTTTTTTTTAATTTTTTTTTTAAGAAAAACGGTAAGTGCATTAATTAATGGAAAGACAGTCCATCAATACACACGGGGAAACTTCATCCGGAACGAAATTTTCCCAAAACTGTTACGACTATAAGGCATTTACCGAGCTAAGTGGTGGGCTACACAATTCCCATCACGCTTTACATGAGACCAAACTATGGAAGAGAAATCCGAACTAGCATAAATAATATCTTCTAGGATACCATCAACCGCCGCAAGTGAGAAGGACTGCTTCTTTAGCTTTGATACCAGCAATAGGGAATCTGCCTCAAGGATCACATCCTCGCAACCTTGCTCCTTAGCCTTCCTAATACCAAACAACATTGCCTTACATTCTGCAACCAGAGGCTCCCACCGTGCTCTAGTCCTCCTGACAGCTGAAAAGAGTACACGACCCCTACAGTCACGAGCAATGGCACCCAAACCTACCCAGCCTTCATCAAAGAGTGCCGCATCCACATTAACCTTCACTGAACCAAGAGGGGGGGGGGCACCCAGGCCGATCTGCCAGCAGGCTCAAAGGGGGAGGATATGCCCCCATAAATCTTCTCGACATAGTCACCAAAGTCAGCCACCAGCCTGCTGTGTCTGAGGAGAAGAACCTCATCCAAAACCCACACATTCTCAAGACTAGGGGTGAGCAAAGATCCAGGGTACCCGGTATCGGACCCGGAACCGGTTAAGACCCGCTGGGTCCGGACCCAGAATTGGTCTCACCGGTTCCGGGACCGGGTCCAAAATTTCGGACCCGGTTGTAACCGGTTCCGGTTTCAAATCCTAAAATTTTGGACCCGGTACCTAGTACGTGGATTGTTTTTGTTTTTAAGAAACTAAAGAGTTATGTACAACCCCATTTTTTTTCTAACCCAATTGCTTATAAAACACTCAACCCACTATCAAACAAAATCCTAGAACTTCTAGATTTTTCTCTCCGCTCTACTATACCGGTTACCCAACATATATTGTACAAAATATATTTAAAAAAACAAAAATATTTTGAACGTAACTAATTAGTAAAAAAAATATTAATATTTAATATAATTAAAATAGCTTAATGTATATAAAAATATAAGTATTAAACGCTAAAAGTAAAAATACACCAAAAAAAATATTATAATTTGTATTATATTTCAACACTTATATATATAAGTGGGTACCCGGAATCGGAATCGGAACCGGTACCCGGTGGAACCAATTCCAATTCCTAAATTTTAGGACCCGGTTGTACCGGTTCCAATTCCGGCTCCAAATTTTAGGACCCGGTCCCAACCAATTCCGGGTCCGGATCTTAAAATTTTGACCGGGTACCCGGTTTGCTCACCCCTACTCAAGACCCATTTGTTGCGACAAAACCAGATGAACCACATGAGGAACAAGCTCTTTTGGTAGACCTCTGCCGTGAGATTTTTTGCCCAGCCAAGTAATACTTCGCCAAAAGAATCTGATGAGACCAAATTCAGAGCTTCCTGGCAACCACTTCTCAGCCATAGTTGATGCGAGCTAGAGCATAAGATTGCAGCATGGATAGTCGTCTCATTTCCCGAGTCATAGTAGGGACATTGGGCGTCTTCTATGAGGTGTCTATGCACAAGGAGGTTTCGAGTAGGCAGAGTGTTTGAGCAGCACCTCCATAGGAAGTGTCGAGCCTTCGGGGGTAATCTTCGCCTTCCATACTTCAACCCAATAATGCTCAAAATTATCAAGAGCAAGGGATTTGCCAAGGATGTAGGCTGTCTTCACACTATAACACCCATTCTTTGACCATGCCAAAGTGAGGGTGTCGTTTGGCTTTCTCTCATTGATTGGAATAGCTAGGATAGCCAGCTTATCCCTATCATTGAAAATGCTCTCGATCTTGTCCATATCCCAGCTGCTGTTATCGGTATCAATAAGCTCATCAACAGTAGTATAGAGATCATTTATGCTTTCCGTAGTAACAAACCGACTTTCATCATCTATGAGCCAGGGGTCTGTCCAAATATTAATGTTACGGCCATCACCCACTCTCTTAAGCATACCTTCCATTACAAGAGCCTTTAAACTCCATAAGCTCTGCCATGAGAAGCTTGAAACCGGGCCTAAAGCAGCCTCAAAGATGGACGTTTGAGGGTGATACTTTGCTTCAAAGACTCGGCTCACAAGTGATTGTTCGTTTGTTACTAGGCGCTGACAGGCTAAAGTTGTATCACTTAATCAAAAGTAATTCCTAAGTCCTCTAACTAAAGTAGATAGAGAAGTAGGGTCGAATCCACATGAAAACAACGTTCTTTTACTCCTAATTAATTATTATAATCTAAATTATCGAGTAACCAATTTATATTGTGTAAATTATACTAATAATTAAACTAAGCAAAATTAAATAAGAGAATAATCAATAATAGAAGGTTTGGGGTATAGGTTCACCAATAAATAATACTCCAGGGTAAAAATAACAATTAATCATCAATGCATAAATTAATCAGATTATAAAGGGCTTTCGCTACGTATTATAATCACAGAATTAATCTACCGGTATTAAATGCATCTCTCGAATCTTGACCTAACCATTTATAGATTAACATGCCTATTGAAACTAAGCCTAAACATTAATTCTCATCTCTCGAATCTCGAATCAATATTGCAAAACTCATACAATTAAACCAGGCCTAATCTAATTGCATAGTATTAAATCAATCAATAGGAAATTAATCAATCATCAATAATCAACAATAATAGATTACCCCTTCGTATTATTCATGGATCCCCACAAACCCCAAAAATAATTCTACTCACTCATATTAAAATTAAACTAATCAAAGCGATTAAATAAAGCATGATTAAAAACGATAATAATAAAATAAGAAAACAATAATAACAAAAATAATCAGGAAGCAATAACAAGCTACTGTAAAAGCAATATATTAAAACTAAAGTAAAACCAAACTAATCAAAAGAACAAAACTAAACTAATCTACGTAAAACTAAACTAAAAGAATGTTAACAAAAATAATAAAACTAAAAACTATCTAATCTAAAAGCTAATCTAAGATACCTCCCCTTACCTCCGTAACTACTCCCCCTTTTAATAAGAAAGGAAAAAGGAGTTTTATACAAAGTCCACTTCTAAACCTACCCAAACTCCTCCTAAAACAATCTCCAGTTAAATTAAAACAAATCCACCGACTTTGCTTTGATCCGATCGATCGAGCCCGCTAAAATCACGCCCAGCAGCTGGCTGTTCTTGGTCCATTGATTTGCAATATTGGGCCATTAATTATAGGCCTTAATTCTCTCTTTTGTTCACTAATTCGTCCAATATAATAAGTTTGGTCCATCATACTAGTAACTTGGACCTTCGTAACCTACGCACTTAAACGAGCCCTTAATCACCGAACCAAATTTCTTCAACTCGATCTTGGGCTTTAAATATACGATCATAAAATACGTTCCGACTCCAATATCTTTATAGCGGTCTAATAAGCTAGGGAATTATCATAATTCTGTAAATTCCTACAAAATAATACCAACTCTACAAAAACACTAGAAAACGTATATTAGTAATAAAAATAGCTCCGTAGAGCTCAAATAAGCACAAATATGACCGTGGGACGGGGAATAAAAATATATATAAAATAGACTCATCAGCGCCAAAATTGTTTACCGAGGAGAGCTACATTAAAGACCCCCAAGTCTCTGAAACCCATACCCCCAAGGCACTTTGGTTGGCATAAGGACTCCCAGCTTTTCCAATGGATCTTCCTACCCTTCTCATTCGCCCCCCACCAAAAACGAGTCATCATGGCATGGATGTCTTGAATCAAAGTATTCGGGAACCTATATACCCCCATCAAATATGTCGGGATAACTTGGATGACAGACTTGAGAAGGACTTTCTTACCGGCTCTAGATAACAACTTCTCTTTCCAGCCTGGACCTTCTTCCAAATTCGATCTTTCACAAAAGCAAAAACCTCTTTTTTCGATCTCCCCACAACAGTTGGCAAACCAAGGTACTTGATATGATTGCCAACCATTTCCATACTGAGAATATAGCTGAAAGTGATCCGAGATGATAGTTGAACACCTTTACTAAAAGACACCTCTGACTTCTCCAAATTAATTTTTTGCCCGGAAGTTGCTTCATATTTGTTGAGAATATCAACAATGATTGAACATTCCTGTCGAGTGGCTCTGGTAAATAACAGACTATCATCTGCAAATAACAAGTGAGTTATCTCCGGGCCATATCTGCTAGCTCGAGCTCCGTGGATCAATTTCTTCTCCGATGCCGCCTGCAGCATTCAAGACAATACATCAGCAACTAGAATGAAAAAATAAGGGGAAATAGGATCACCTTGGCGAAGACCTCTGGACGGGGTCAGGAAATCCGAGGGTACTCCATTGATGATAAAAGAATATTGAACCGTTGAGACAAAGGTCATGATAGTATCTACCCATGCTCTAGCAAACCCCAGTTTAGTCAGGAGTAGTCTCAGAAATTCCCACTCCACCCTGTCATATGCTTTACTCATATCCAATTTCATTGCTATCGTCCCACGGAGACCCTTAGATCTCTTTTTCATGGTATGGAAAAGCTCAAGAGCAATCAAAGCATTATCTGTAATTTGACGTTTAGGAACAAAAGCACTCTGATTTTCAGTGACCATGTCATGAAGGAGCGGCTTTAATCTATTTGCTACAGATTTTGAAGCTAATTTATACAACACATTGCAAAGAGAAAATGGACGGAATTGAGAAATACAAGTAGGGTTCTTAACTTTCGGGATAAGAGCAACATTAGTGAGATTCATGTTATCAAGAGGAATCCTACCAAAGATAATATTATTGACAAACGTAGTCACATCATCACCTACAATATGCTAATATTTCTGATAAAAAATCGCATGAAGCCCATCCGGCCCCGGGGCCTTGCATGGACTCATCTGAGAAAGGGCAGTATAAATTTCATCTTTGGGGTAAGGGCGACATAAGGATCGATTCATACCTTCAGTGACCATAGCTGGAACACTACCCAGGACCTCCTCCATCAGTGTCACATCCAACTCACCTCTAGCAAACAACGAGCTATAAAAATCAAGGATGATTTTCTCAACATTTTTCTTCCCTGATCGTCATTCCCCGTCAGCATTTTGGAGCCCCTTAATGTAGTTCTTGCTTCTTCTTTGAGCTGCCTTGTGATGGAAATATTTGGTGTTTCGATCTCCATTATTGATCTCAGAAACCCTTGACCGGAGGAACCAATATACTTCGTTCTTTTCATGGAGGTCATCAAGAATACCCTCCAATCTGCTACATTCGGCAAAATTGAGATGTGTGCCCACCTGTTTTTGAGCTCCCTTCAAAGCTTCTTCGGTTTCAGCAATCTGTTCACCCAAATTTTCGAAAGAGTTTTTGCTCCATGATGTTAATTCATGAGCAATACACAGAAGCTTATTAGGCATATCAAGGTGACGAGAGTTTGCCCAACCCCTTCTAATTACATCTTCAATACCCTCAGCCAGCAGCCAGCAAGTCTCAAAACGGAACCTTCTCTTCCTTGTAGATTCCTTCTTACTCACTCTGCCATCTATATGCAACATAATACCTACATGATCCGATCTAAACTTCATTAAATGAGATACATGGGCTTGATTAAACTAGGCACACCACCGAGCACAAGCCACAAACCTGTCCAACCGCTCCCTAACCACCCCATCCTACCCATTTCCACGCTCCCAAGTCACCCACGAAGCATCATAACCAAGGTCCCTTAAGTTGCAATCATCAAGGACCTCCTTAAAGGCATCCATGGCACGTTGCTCTTTCATGGCCCCCCTGAATTCTCTTCCGCACTCAGAATTTCATTAAAGTCACCCCCGAAAACCGTAGGGTGAGGAGAGTCCAGGTAGAGATCACGCATGAGAGCCCAGGTGTTGTTTTTTAGAGCTCTATCCGCCCACCCGTAGACCCCAATGAACTTCCACACCGACCACCTAGCTCAGTTCCATCCCCGCAAATATGGTGATCCAAGTATGAAATCACAGAGAACTGGACCCCCTCCATCCAATACACACAAAGGCCTCCTGATTTCCCTCTACTATCTACACCAAAAGACCTAGGGAAACCAAATTTAGTTTTTAATGTTTTTGATTTTTTTCCATTAATCATAGTTTCACTCAAAAAAATTATGTCTGGGCTCAAACCACCACTCCAATGTTGGAGTGCTCGAATTGCACGAGAGTTGCCCGCCCCTCGGCAATTCCAACAGATGAGTTTCATTTCTCTTCAGGGGGTTGGTTCACTCCAACTCCCCATACTTGATTTACCCCGTTTCCGGCAAGGAAAACTTTTGTGACTATTTGCTTTTTGGTGACTTGTTGTGAAGCAATATTTGGTTCTTCGCATATGGGAGTCTCCAAGCTTCTCTTTCTTACTGCCACCATACTACAGTTCATTTCATCCCTCATCCTACTGTCTCCACCCATCTCCGCCCCCTCTTTCTTTTGATTGCAATCTTACGAATTCCAGCAACAGGTAAATCATGCTCCATCTCATCAGTCTCTGTTCTTAGGGCTAGCTGTTTTACCTTCACTATCTTCATATTACTCTTCTGCTACTACTCCACTCCCTGTATCAATTTCATGCCCTTTGACAAGGCTCCTTAATCGCAAGACAATTCTTGAGGTCTCAGAATCAACTACCCTGACCAACGCAGCCTCTTTTTCCCTTGGAGGTGGGAAGTGTAATTTACGAGCTGCCCCTGGAGGTCCAAGCTTCACTGCCCCTGGATCATTATAACACAGAACGCGTCCCTTCCTCAAGGAGAGCAACCCTTCCTTCCACCCCTTCTCCTTCGCAATCTCAGACTCAGATTTCTTGGGGGTCTCCTAGGTGATGCTCGAAGCCAAGGACCATATTGATACACAATCTCGTCACTTGTCGCCCTTATATCATCCTTATAAGCACAACCTCCCTCCGTGTGATGTAATCTCCCACAGATAAAACAGAAATTCTCCAATCTTTCGTACTTTAAAGAGACCCACTTTAAATCAGAGGCGCCAACTGCCAAAAAAAGACCCCTTCGAAGTGGTTTTTCAATGTCGATCATCACCTTCATCCGCATGAACTCACCCCATCCTAGAGGCTCGGACTCATCAATCTCCAAAAAGATTCCCAAGAAGTCACCAATGGCAATTAAATTCTTCCTATTCCGCTTACTAAAGGGGACGTCGAGAAGCCTCACCCACATGGGGGCATACTTGAAAACCACCTCCGGTGGTTGCTCCTCTCCATCGATCTCCTTAAGTGTTAGGAATTTTCCATCAAAGAACCAAGGGCATCCATCCAACACTCTTTCCTTATCCGCGTCGCTGAAGAATTTAAAAACAAAGAGATTCATCTCCACCATCTTAATCACCACATTACCGTGCAATCTCCATACTGATATTAACGTGCGCTTCATCGCTTCTACATTGAAGGGTTTGGAGGTCAGCAATTTCCCTACTAGCGATAGGGCAATCTGATTTTTCGTTCCTTCATCCTCCAAATCTGCGGAGCGATCTCCAATGACCTTCGATTCCTCTTAAGTCAATTTTATTCTCTCGAAATCATTAAGTAATTCATCAGCCATGGTACTAGTTTAGCAGGGATTAAAAATTCTTCAAAGATGGTGGGAAAATAAGGGAAAAATTAGCAAAATCCGTAGGAAAACTGACAAACCCTAGGCGAGGGACATACTAACCTTATACGAGGGACTCAAGTTTTAAGTAGAGAGTTATATAATTAATTTTTAGGCTTATTAACTTTCATACTACCTTAATTATCTTTTAAGGATAAACTTTAATAGAATATGGACAAATAATAAGGGACGAAAAGAGTAATTATTAGTACCAAAAATGTGAATATTAATATAAGTATATCTTAAAAAGGAAACGAGTCAAACCAATAAGGAACATTACAAATACTCAGGAGAAATTAGAGAAATACATTGGATGATTGAATAATACCCGATTTTCACTTTTCAAAAGTGTTGATACATCGGAGTACATCAAGGGTAACTTTTAAGTTAGGATAACTTTTAGCATGCAGATAATTATAACTCGATATTATGTATTTCGTATAATTTTTAGGTAAATTAAGAAACAATTTTAAAGAGATAAGTTTTATAATAGGTGATTTTATTTTGTTTATTTATACATTGTGGGATAAATTGCTTGAAAATGAGTAATTTTATGCATGTAACTTATACTCGTATTTTATTTCGTAGTAATTTTGGATCATTTCAGGAGAAATTTACATCCAAATGTGTCTTTCCCTAAGTAATTAGTCAAATATAAACTGATTTTTAAAGATAATTATGTGCTGCTCTAAGTGAATTAGAAAGATAAGGAGTAAGAAACGAGCTCTTACGATAATCTTTGCCCCATTTTGAGCATTTCCAGGTGTAAGCTGCGCCGTTGCACCTCTCACTCACTCTCCGCCATTAAAGTCGTGTCGTTGAAGCGGCTTCTAAGCATCCTCCATTGAAGCAGCTTCTGAGGTAGGATTAATTTTGCTTAATCATCGAGTATCAATTTCACAATCTAGGGTTTCGTTGATTTGATTGTCAGTACATTCGATTTAGGGTTCGGGTTATTTAACTATTGTTGATGTAATTGTCAGTATAGTCGATTTAGGGTTTGGATTATTGAACTATTGGTTATAAATACTCCGAGTATTCAACGAGCATACTTTGATAATTAATTCATATTTTGTGTTGCAGTATAGTCAATTTAATTTAGCGTTCGGATTATTGAACTATTAGGACGGAACTATGAAAATTAGGGACAGGCGTGATCGTCGAGGGAGTGATTCTGAGAATTCTGATGGGGGAAGAAGTGATTCTTCTGATTCAGGAGGAGGGCATTGGAATAGTAGGCATGTCAGTGAGAATGATGGGAGAGATAAGGATAGGGAGAGGAGGAGAGGAAGTGAGAGGCGGGAGCGGGAGCAACCACGGAGAAGGGTGGAGGAGGAAGGAGATGGGAATAGGAAGAGACGTGATGAAAGAGAAAGGAATGAACGTGGAGGGAGTGATTCAGAGAATTCTGATAAAGAGAGGGATAGGAAGAAAAGTGAGAGGCGAGAGGAACCAAGGAGAAGGGTGGAGGAGGATGGAGATGGAAATAGGAAGAGAAGAGATGAAAGAGGTGGGAATGGACGTGGAGGGAGTGATTTAGAGAGTTCTGTTAAAGAGAGGGATAGAAAGAGAAGTGAGAGGCTAGAGCGGGAGCAGGAGCAGGAGCGACCCAGGAGAAGGGTGGAGGAGGATGGAGATGGAAATAGGAAGAGAAGGGATGGAAGAGAAAGGAGTGGGCATGGAGGGAGTGATTTAGAGGGTTCTGATAATGAGAGGGATAGGAAGAGAAGTGAGAGGCGAGAGAGGGAGCAACCTAGGAAGAGATCCGATGTGGAAGAAGATGGTGATGAGGAGATTAAAAGGAAAAGAGATAGCAGGGAGAAGAATTGGCATCGAGAGAATGATTCAGAAAGTTCTGGTGACGAGAGGGATAGGAAGAGAAGTGAGAAAGGAGAGCAAGAGAAGCCTAGGGAAAGGTTGGATGATGAAGAAGCTGGTGATGGAAAGAGAAGTGATAATAAGGGGAGGAATGGACGTCAAGAGAATGATTCAGGGAATTCTGACGAAAAGAGGGATAGAAAAAAAAGTGAGAAACGAGAAAAGGAGCAACATAGGAAGAGGTTGGATGACAAAGAAAAAGATGAGAAGGAAATAGTCATTGAAGGCAGGCATGGTAGAAGAAGGAATGAAAGAAACAGCAGGATTGGGCGTCAAGGGAGTGACTCAGAAAGCTCTGGTGGGGACAGACGACGGGATAGGGAGAGACGCAGACGTGAAAGAGAGAGGAGAAAGCACCGATATGACTCGGATGATTCTTCGGATTCTGATGGGCGTAGAAAGAGGCATAGCATGCGGAGGAGTGATCGAAGAGAGGATAGGACTAGCAAACAAACCCATGATTTTGAGGAAGGGGAAATAAGATCTAGGTGGGAAAGGAATGAGAAAGTGTTTGAGTCGAAGCAAGAAGGCAAGAATGTGATAGGTGAAGAGCCTGCAAAACCACAAACACAGTCTACTGCAACAAATATGAATCCAGGTGGTGATCTTAGTACCCTTGGTAGGACTGGAGGAGTTTACATCCCACCATTTAAGTTGGCTCGAATGATGAAGGAAATTGAGGACAAAAGCAGTGTGGAATATCAGCGTTTGACATGGGATGCCCTTAGGAAGAGTATCAATGGTTTGGTAAACAAAGTGAATGCCATTAATATCAAGAACATTATTCCAGAATTGCTTGGTGAGAATCTGATCAGGGGAAGGGGTCTGTTTTGTCGATCATGCATGAAGTCCCAAATGGCATCACCTGGTTTTACTGATGTATTTGCTGCTCTGGTTGCTGTGGTCAATACCAAGTTCCCTGAAATCGGGGATCTTCTTTTAAGGAGGATTATTCTACAGCTAAAGAGAGCTTACAAGCGCAATGATAAGGTTTGTATGATTATTACCTCTTTCCAATACCATTTTTAATTAATTGTTTTCATTGCCCATTTATAGAGTTCTAATCTGCTGAAAATTCATTTACAGCCTCAACTGATGGCTGCTGTTAAATTCATAGCTCATCTCGTAAACCAGCAAGTTGCTCATGAGCTTGTTGCTTTGGAATTGCTCACCATTCTGTTGGAGCAGCCTACTGATGATAGTGTTGAGGTTGCAGTTGATTTTGTCAAAGAATGTGGCTCCATTCTTCAAGACCTTTGTCCCAAGGGTCTTCATGGTTAGTTTACTAGTGAGTATGTGACACTACCTCTGTTTGAAATTTTCATTGTTTTCAACATGATTCATTTTTCTGTATCCTTCCATTTTGCTTCTTTTGTTTGTTACACTTAGAATCTCATAGCTGCCATATAGTTAAATAGTACCTAAAAGAGTATATGAGTGGAAGTTGAGTACCTGAGTACCAATTTTTGATACTTAAGACAGTGAAGCATTTCTCATGATGATTAGTTCCTATTCATCTGTATGTCGTCTTGCTATGTTTAAGTCAGATGAACGTTGTATGGTTTGTTCGAAGTGGAAAAATGCACAAAATCATTGTTTAAGCAAATTTTGTGATTGACAAATTGTGCATCTTCTTTGGGTTTGACTTTTCAATTACTCTGCTTTGCCAATTTTTCTCCGCTCTTCACACTGTCCCATCTCATTTATTTGTTTGAATTCTCAGGTATTTTTGAACGTTTTCGAGGAATTCTTCATGAAGGAGAGATTGACAAAAGGGTTCAGTTTCTGATTGAAGGCCTGTTTGCCATTAGAAAGGCTAAATTCCAGGTCTGGTATTATATATAACTTATGATGGCATGTTTACTTGTTTGAATTATCAATAATGCTGGAGTAGTGAAGCTTTTGGGGTTATTTGGATCTGCAGGGGCATCCAGCTGTCCGGCCGGAACTGGATCTTGTGGATCCAGAAGATCAGCTCACTCATGAGATGTCACTGGAAGACGAGATAGATCCTGAGACTGGTCTTGGTATTTGAACTATTCTCGCTATAATTATTTATGATTTCTGCATTTATTAACTTCAACTAAATCGATTAGCAATGTATCATTCTTGTTAGCAATTCTTAGTACTATTATCTTGTTTATATGCAATTTCAGACATTTTCAAACAAGACCCTAATTTCGTGGAAAATGAGAAAAAGTACGAAGAGTTGAAGAAATCCATACTAGGAGATGAGTCAGAGGACGAGGATGGATCTGATGCTGGGTCTGATGATGATGAGGACGATGAAGAAGAGGATGAAGACGAAGAAGAGCAGCAGATGCAGATAAAAGATGAAACAGAAACCAACCTTATAAATCTTCGAAGAACTATATATTTAACAATAATGTCCAGTGTAGATTTTGAAGAAGCTGGCCACAAGCTGTTAAAAATCAAACTTGAGCCTGGGCAAGAGGTATGCAATTCTTCTCTTTAAATTCCTCTACCAGATTTTCGTACTGCATTGAATTTTGCTCCATTGCGTCAGAGTCTGCTTTTGGAACTTGATCTAAATTTTTGTTTCTCTGATAGTTTTGGAAGATCTTTTTCTTTGTACCCTTTTAACATTTTACATATTTTGTGTAATTTTCCCTGAAACATTATTTGCACCCTATTGAGATATTCTCTAGACCCTCTACTTGTTATTTTACCCAGGCTCTAATGTATACTTCGTGCTGCTCCAAATGCCAATGATGCATGTTAATTTGTTATGCAGTTAGTATTATATCTGATTTCCCCTTTGTTTGCCGCTCTGAATATGTCAATGAAATTTAATTTCCTGCTGCTCTTGCCTTTATGCTGGGCTTTTGGCTACCATTTTTAAAAAGGTTTTTGGGTTGCATGTAGCACTTCCTTTTTCTTTATGCTGGTTTTATTTGCCGGTTGCATCTGTCTTTGGGACTTCTGCTTCTGTGTGCTCTTTGTTGTAAGCTGTTACTATGTGAAACTTATCTCAAATTGTCGCTGCAGATGGAGTTGAATATAATGTTATTGGAGTGCTGCAGCCAAGAGAGGACATACCTCAGATATTATGGTCTTTTGGGCCAACGGTTTTGTATGCTTAACAAAGTGTATCAGGAAAATTTTGACAGATGCTTTGTTCAGCAATACTCCATGATACATCGACTTGAGACAAACAAATTACGTAATGTGGCCAAATTCTTTGCTCATTTGCTAGGCACTGATGCTCTTCCTTGGCATGTGTTAGCTTACATTCGTCTGACTGAAGAGGACACAACTTCTTCATCTCGTATCTTCATCAAAATCCTTTTCCAGGTATCGGAATATATGACACTTATTTCTTACACAATTGATGAGTTTAATGTAGTGTGTTCTCTATGGGTATACTTCTGCTTGATTGTTCACATAATTTTAAAAAAATCATTTAATGCAGGAATTATCTGAGCACCTTGGTATCCGGTTGCTCAATGAACGGCTAAATGACCCAGCAATGCAGGACTCCTTTGATTCAATTTTCCCTAAAGATAATCCCAGAAACACACGTTTTGCAATCAACTTCTTCACATCCATTGGGCTTGGAGGAATAACAGAGAACTTGAGAGAGTACCTGAAGAACATGCCACGATTGATAATGCAACAACAGAATTCCGAGCCGGAAGTGCCAGAAGATGAATCTGATTCCGGTTCCGGTTCTGGTTCAAGTTCAAGTTCATCAGGCTCGGAGTCATCCTCTGCTGAATCTGATTCTAGTTCCGATGCAAGTTCATCAAGCTCAGATGATGATAGGCGTAATAAAAGGAAGAAGAATGACAGTGGTGGTGGTAGACATAGGAAACGGAGGAAGGGAGACTAGGAAACACAGTGAAACCTCCTCTTCCCTCTCATGTCTTCTTGCATCGGAGAAACAAGTTTTATGTCTTTTCCTTAGTCTCTATCAAATTTAGGTGACTATTAAAAAATGGAAACAGAATTTGTACTTGCATAGCTGATAAATTTTATTGAAGGTTTTGTTATTGCTTGGTCCAATTTGCCTCAATTTTCTGTTGAAATTTCATTTTTTTTTGACAGACAAGCAATTAATGACTCTTTTTTCTTCTCTTTATTATCTTCAAGTGCTCTTATACACTATACTTTGGGTTTCTTTCTTTCTTTTTATTCCGTAATCTGAAGGACCTTTTTTTTTTTTTTTTTTTTGGGGTGTGATTTAAGTGTTCCCGAGGCCATTAAAAGTATAGTTAACGAAATTATTTGAGATAATTAAATATCGTATGAATTAACAATTAGCTAATTATTATTATTATTATATAGTTTTTTTTTTTTGATGAATTTCTCTCTCTCTTGTTTTCTTAATTAATTAATAACATCATGCAGATAAAGCTTCCAGTGGGCAGATGTAGTAAATTCCGACTCAAAACGAACTTCTGCAAGGTAAACTTTTCCCGCCAAAAATCTGTTATGAAATGTAACGAACTAAAACCCACTCTAACCAACTATCTCACTTTAGCTCCTCCACCCTTTTCTTTCTCTCTCCTCCATTTCTCGACTCTCTGAGTTCTTGAAATTCACAGCAAAAACCCATTTTCTCTCTCTAAAATTAACCCATTTCTCTCTCTGAATCGGAAGCCATGGAAAGGAAAGCTTTGAGAGGAGGGAATCTATCGTCTTCTTCATCACCAAATTCAGAGGAGCACATCATCCAAATCCCAAATCTTGATGCTGAACAAACAGAGGAACAACATTCGTCATTGTTGTCTCAGTCTCAGGTTCTGCAGCAGCCTCATACTCCTCCGAGACGAAGGGTTCTTCCTAATTCCAATTTCGATCCCAACCCCACCACTCTTCCTTCTGCCTTCATTAACAATCACCATCACCGCGGCAACTACCGCCGTCTCTGGGGCTTTCGTGTTCGTCGTTTCTTCGGGTCTTCCTGGGTTCTCCATTCTATTCCTGCCATCATCTTCCTCTGTTTTTTCCTCCTCTGGTGGTTCTCCAACCCAGGTATGTTCAAGTTTTGATTTCAATTTTTGCGCAAATTCAATTGTTCTGTCCTTCTGGGTTTTCTTGAAAGAATTTAGCTGGGTTTGTTATTTCTGGTCTTTGTTGTTTGTTGATTGTTAGTTCTTTCATTGCTCAATTATCCAATTCTTGTCTCATCTTTCATATCTTTGTTGATTGTTTTTTTTTTTTGATCAATTATCTTTTATGTTTTCTTGATTATTATGGCTTCTTTCTGTAAATTTCTGGGTATAAATTGGAGTGATTATATGAATTTTAATTCCGATTTGCAGTAATGCCAATTGGGTAGACAACCAAAAGTGAAAAGAAATCAATAATGGGTCATTTTTGCACTTCGAATTCTACTTTTCCATATTCATATATTGATTCATGGATATAAATTGTTTTTCCATTGTTTGAAATCATTAATATACCACATTTCCAGACTCATGTTTAGTTGATTGGTTTAGTATGGTAGTCGAAAATCTAGTGGTATGTCATCTTGTTTGAATATAGAAAAATCTGACAAGTATGATATTGTTTGGGTAAATGCAGTGAATTTGGCAATAAAGGATGGCAGGTTCATGCAACAACATTCCTCTACTGTAAGGCCTTTTTCTCTGAATGACACTGACCTTAATCTGAGCCGCATGACTATGTTGTCAGTAGCTACTTTGCCAAATCCCAACATCGAGCTCATGCTGTCGGTGATCGAGAAGGCAGGTGATGGTGCATCTCCATTGAGCAGCAGTAACTGAAGCGTGCACTCTTCTGATATCTGTAATTTGCACTTATCTTCTAAGATTTATCATTGCTTAAGACTATCCTGGCTTCATAGCAGTTCATTTTACTTTTAATGTTCTAGTTCCAATAATAAAAAAAACTCTATTATGGAGTACTAAGTAGGTCGATAAGGTGGATGATGGTGCAATCTCCCATTGAGCAATAGCATGCAGTTGAAGTGCACACTCTTCTGATCTGTGTCATGTGTACTTAGCTTCGAAGGTTTTTCATTGCTCGGCACTATCCTAGCTACATAGCAGTTTATTTTAGTTAGTGTTTTAGTTCCAATAATACAAAACTCTATGATGGAGTACTAAGTAGGCTGATAAGGCGGATGATGATGGCGAATCTCTCATTGAGGTGACAGTTATTGAAGTGAACACCTACTGATCTATGTAATGTACACTTATCTGCGAAGATTTTCAATGCTGGACACTATCCTAGATATATATGTATCAGTTCGATTATTTTCGGTTTGGTTTCAATAATATGAGTTTCTATGATGTAGTACTGAGTAGGCTGCTCCATGTTATGAAGTTTATGCTATACTTGAAGTATTGTCTCCAACTTTTTGGATTAAGATACAGTAGCTATGATGGTACTGTTTGTATGTAAAACTTACATTTCAATGAATTCTGCTTGAGACATCAAATCCTTACATACTTTAGAGTAGCCTATGAATGTAAATGTTACAGTATTCAAAATGTTACATAATTTGCCTTGAATTTCTGAAATGCAAATTTACTTCTTACAGTTGTGTGCTCTGATGTTTGTGGGTAAGAGTCCCCTTCTAATTTTCTTTTTCTCTTCTGTGTCTCCAATAGATCCCTTTAGTGTGGATGATCCACCTTTTAGCATTACCTTTTGTATGTTTGGAACTCGTTTAGCTATTTCAGTTCACTAACCTCACCAAGTCGACAATTGCCCACCCATACGTATAATACTGAGCGCTTCTTTGAACTTACCACCCTACAACAATCCCTCCTGGGTGACTGTATTACAAAAAAGAAATAAATACTTAAACTTTGTTCTGTAGTTGAGATGAATTAGAGATTGGGAAATGAAGAGATGGATATTTAATAGTCGAAAAGTTGCACATTTTTCATTTTAGAAGCAGACAGAAGGAACTGAAGTTGCATACCTTTTGCCAACGGAGGTTATCTGGCCTCTTAAGAACCACAACAGAGTCAATTTTTTCAGGATTTTCCATCTTCCACCGGCAGAAAGGGTGCTTATACCGGTCATGAGCCCGGTAAATTCCAATTGTTTGCTTGCTGCCACGATCATACCTTGTTCTGCTCATATAGAAAATGAAGGGAGACTGACAAGGGTGTCTGGTGACTGGTCTGGTATTGAAGGAATATCCTGTGTAATCAGCTCTCTTGTACCAATTTAGGAAGGTTCTGGTGGGCATTTCAAGCTCTCTTGGTGAGACTACTCCCCTAATAATCTGAACCACATAGCCCCAGGATACACTTATGGACCAGAATCTTTTTTTGTCATAGCAGATGGATTGCTGCATTATACTGGCTGAATCCTGGCTGACCGATTCAAACAGGTGACGAATTGCTTGGGGTCGTGTCATGCCTGGAAATATGGGCTCTACCACGTCAAGGTGGTGAATTGAGACTAGTGGTGTTACTGGATGCGCTGCTAGTAGCCCCAGTAAGTCTCCATACACATCATACTGCATTTAGCAATTTGCATCAGAGATTGGACTTTATATGGCTGCTAATCAGTTGTAATGTCATATACGAAGTATACTTAGTTGCCTCATTGCATCGTTACCAGTTTATTGCTAACAATAATTTTTTTTCATGTTTACATTATGTTGAATTCAATCAGATCAATGGTGATAAAACTCGTCTATTGTTTGTCTTATTAGGCTATTAGAAAAATTGAGTTCCAATATGACTCTATGAGAAGGAAATGTATTATAAACCTAAATGAAATCCTAACTATTAACATCTATTAACATGAAGCAGGAAAACTACATATTTATGACAGTAAAACACCCCTTATTTGGCCACTGATTCCAGAAACACCCCCTTTGACAAGCATGTTAAGCTTATTACAGCAAAAATCTTGGCAAAACATATTCTACAAGTAGTACTTAATAAGAAGAATGATGTTAATTACCTGATGGAATCCAAGTTCTTTAGTAAGGGGGACTCCTAACTCGGCCATACAAGCTTGTATCCTGTCATCACTACCATACAAAGCAGGATAACGCTGGATGCATCGATCCTGCATTTTCGCTAACTCCTTAGCAAGAGGATAGCTGATGGCAAAACCACCACCTCCATAAGCCATAGCATAGGAGAAAATAATATTTTGGACATGACTTTCAGAGTTGCTCCCAATGTAATAGTATTGGTTATAATCATACTTTTCTAGGATCCTAACAACATTATCAACAACGAAAACGGTGTCATCATCTCCCATGACAAACCACCTGACATCCTTTAAACCGAGATTAAGGGTCTCGGACACCACCCTAGAAATCCTCAATGCAGATCTGCTTCCAAGTCTGTTGGTATACCTTAACTTACTGGTGTCTTCAGAGATGCGTATCTTAGGTAGATTCTCATTCTTGTAAGTTTTAACGTTTCCGTCGAGCCAAACAACTCCTCTGGTTTGATTAGGCCTCCACCAATGCTTGATGTACTCCTTCCTTTTGTCCCACAAAAAGGAAGAAGCCGCGATCCCAAACACAATATGTTTCAGCTGCGTAGGCTCTTCCTTTTCCTCTTCATCTTGTGATCCACTTGTCTCGGTTTTTGTCAATGCTTGGTGACCGCCGCTAGTTGAAGCAGATCGTTGATCATATTCCTCATTGTCATCAGGAGGATCAGGAGAGCTGATATGTTTATGTTGTGGGGTGGAAGAATTAGAGAAAGAGAGGGAAGTCTCTATGTTTCCAAGCTCAGAGATGTTAGAAATCGTGGTTGTTGTAGGACATTCAGGGTGGTGATATACAATTTGGTTGAATGTATACAAGAAACAAATGGCTGATGTTATGATGATGATCCAAGATACGAGCTTAATCATTGGTGCTAATACTAAATGACTAATAATGATATGATTAATGTCTGTTTTTCGTCGAATTTTGTCTAGGTAATGATTTCCATGGATTGAAGATTAGTTCGAGATGCATATGAGAGAGAGATACAGAGGAAACAGAGGAGATTGAAATTAGTTGTGGATTAACGAAGGTGAAGCCTATTCTTTCTCCTTTTGCCATCTCAAGTGTGGGGTGCTTAACTCTACCGCCCTTATAGTTGTTGCCTCTTTTGTAAACTCTTTTTTTTTTTTCTTTTATTACTATTTATTATTAATTTTTTTCAACAACAAAGGAGCTGATTTTTAGGCTTTTAGCTCATTTTTTTTTTCCCTGGAATGCTTCTTGTAAGAACAATCATTAATTATGAGAATCTATGATGTACGGAATGTTTGTTATCTCTACTATTCCCTAAAAAAGAAAAAAAAAAAAGAATGGTTGTTATGTAATACGTATATGATATATAACGAAATACAGAGATTATAATTGTAAGAACAATCGTTTATTATGAGAATGTATGCAGTATGGAATGTTTGTTATGTCTAAAGTTAGTAATATACATTATAAATTACAGAGTAGTAATCTACTTGTTTCAAAAAAAAAAAAAAAAAAAAAAGGTAATCTACTTGTATGGTGGTAGCTTTTTTCATTTTAATTAGATTAGTGTCCGTGTGGTGCACGATAGTAATAATATTTTTCCATAATTAATTGTGACATAATACAAAAATGAGGCAATTTATGTGGAATAAACAAATGCAATGCATATTGAAAAATAAAAGAATAAGGCAACAATTATTAAAACTACAATTGAGAAAAAAAAATTTATTGTTGATTATAGTTGTGTTGAAAATATTTAAAACTAGTATACAATATATTACACTAATGATGTATATTATTTCTCAATATAACTATACAATCTAGTGACTATGTGACTAAGGACTTATTTACAAATGCTTTTTAATAAACATGAAAATATTAATAATCAAACAATAGAATAAAATCTACAGTAAAACTATTAGCACAACATACATGTAAATATATAAATTACAAATAATATATCACCTTTATATCCAATAAAATAATTTCAATGGAAATAAATACTACTCGGATCATTAAAGGCAACTATAATCCAAAATTAGGCAGCACTAACCTATATTATTAATAATACATTTTCATTTTATGAATTGATGCTCTACATGATATTGTCGCTCTTTGTTATTATATAAAAATGTGTTTGGTATCCAATAATTGTAGTTTGATTATTATTTGTTTATTAACTTAAAATTTTATTTGTAGATGATAACTATTTATCGAAAAAAAGGATAAGTGTCTATAATTCAGCAAACGATAATAATTTTTTTTGTATTTACTAAGATATTAATGTAACAAAAAAATTGATTGATATTTCACATTTTCTTAGATATAGACCTAGATATAGTTGTTGAACACAACATTTATTTTATAGTCATATCTAATACCCCATTAGTCTAAGAAACAACATATTAGAGGTATTTGGAAAAAAATTAAAGTGATGTTTTAAAGTATTTTCTTTAATATCAATAATATGAATCAATTTTATTATTACTTTTTGAGAAAAATTCAATAATACTCTGTCTAAAAGGTGTCTAGGCGGTAATGATAGTATTATGTACCTAAACTAGTGGCTTTTTACTTTTTCTATAATTTAAAAAAAAAAAAAATTGGAATAATATTTTTGGTCAATTTGTATGGAAAAATTAAGAACACAAAATAAAAAGAAATAAATTTTATGTAAAGATAATATATAAGATTTGGAATAATCTAATATTATATATATAAAGAGGAGTTTTTTCCCAAGTTTTTAGAGCGCCACAAAGGATTTAAATTTTTTAAAAATTACTATAGCGCCACTTAGAATTAGTATATTTAAAACGCTACAATAGGATTTTGCCACGTAAGATTAGTTTAATTTTTTGTAAAGCGCTACATAGGATTTTAATAAAAAATCGCCACTTATGATTAATAATTTTAAAACACTACAATAGGATTATGCCACGTAAGATTAATCGTATAGCGTCACATAGGAAAATATTATATTTTAGCCAAAAATAAAAAAAAGAATTGCAATTTAGTTTAGATAAAAAATTTATATTAATTATAATAATAAAATCAGCAAGTTTTTGGGGTGGCTGGCCATATCTTGTGGCCGGTTGAGACGCACCCAAACATTGACCGAGTAATCTTGATCGTGTGAGTAACCCCTGATTGATTGAGTAACCCTTGACCAACCAAGTAACTCCTGACTAAGTAATCCCGACCGCACGATGTAACCAACCACATATGAAACTTTGTGAAATAAAATATTATCTTTTTATATTACAAATTTTATCTAAATATGAGAAACAAAATTAATAATTCATTTTATGATAAAAAATTCAAGTAGTAAGCAAGCGAATATCACAAAGTTTATTAGATAATTATATATTAGTAAAATATTTTATTTTAAAAAATACAAACAAACCGTGCATTGGCTTCATCTAGTTTTTATTATAGTTGTATTATACAAATATTCCAAACATAAAAGATTTTTATTATGAAAAGATAAAATATTTTTTTGCTAAAAGGGGAGGGGAGTTTTGGAGGAAAATACAACATGTCTTACTATTATGTCATTTCTGGTATCTGTTTTACTATTATGATATTGATTGATTATCAAAATCTCAATATATTTGTAAGAATATTTTAGAGCATGCGGATAAAAGGAATGTACGGCATTCTTTGTATGTACTCCGAGTATTATATTTCATGATGAAAATTTGATTCTCCAGATAAATTATTTTAGGACCTTCTTTTTCTTTATCGAATGAAATGATAGGATATGATAGTTGCAGTCTTTTTATTTTATTTTTATTTTTTATGCCACTTTAATTTGAAGGTACTCCACTTCACCAAGTCACCAACCCACTTCCCAACTAATTCCTTCAGGCATAGTCGCATAGATGTTCAAGTATATTGGTTTCTTTAATCTCGTCATTGAAGGTAATAATTTGCTAGTCATCTTCGTTTTGAAAATTTTGAGCAAAATCGCTGAAAAATGGCTACTTATAGTTAAAGATATCGATACCTCTCCATTATTAATATTTAATAAATCCGATGATTTGTACATCTATTTCTAGAAGCAAATAGAGCAATGGATCATAGGGGGGAAAAAAATGTAACTTTTCTTCTTAAATTGCACGCTTGCACATTATGCTATTGGAAATTTAGTAATAGAGAACAAATACGTGAAGTAATTAGAATTATAAATGTGTAATTATTCTGTAATTATGAAGGGAAGACCCTTATACAAATGGAATATGTACTAAAAGACGTATACAAAATACATTACAAATTAAAATTCTGCTACATTGGCAACTAACATTGTTCATGTAGCAAGTTTAACAATTTGGTACAAACAGCAAATAAAAAGAGAGTTTCTTTATTCAAGAGCAAGTTTTAGAGAACACTTGTAGAAATTTTCGATGAATGATCTGAGCTGGTAAGGTGCAGTGTTAAGTGCGCAGACAGGACCATCAGCAATTGCATAGTTCAGACTTCAGACTATCCCCTGAGGAATAAATCAAACAAAGATTAAGTTAGTGACCATTAAAAAAGGTTCCAAATGTCCTGAATTTAGTCCCTTTTATAGAAGTATAGCCGGTTTACCAGGTTACGCCTCTTGTAGATCTTTAAGTTCAGTTCTTCATCCCATTTGGTTTCCAGGCAAGCCTCAACTGTGTCCAATGCCTGCACCATATACAGGTCATTAGGCGTCGTACTGACTGTCACAATCTAATATGAAGTACATGATTCTGTATTGATCACATGTAATGTACTATAGACTAAGTTATAAGAGGTGTATGTGCTATACCTTGAGCCAAGCATCAAGCTTCGGCCTCCCTTCAGTGATGTCGTACTTGTGCAAATCTGTAAATAAGTAATAGTATCTTTGTACAAATGGAGCATATGCAACATCAGCCTGATCATAAAATAACAGCCAAATTTAGTCAGAGAAAAATTAGCAGGATGAATATCTGACAATGTAAATATTCTCTGCAACATGTTCATAGATGTTGCAATTGATATTTCAGATGACAGAAACTTATAAACAGGAGTTTATATAAATGAATTAGTCTGACTGACCGCGCTGAATTGGGCACCAAGGAGGAAAGGCCCTTCATGGTTGTATTTTGAAAAATATTCTTCCAATGTGTCGAAAGCAGTCTCTATAAAAAGCAGAGAAATGCACATTGTTACTACAATAGTTACAAATGAATAGCAATAGATCAGTAATTAGTCTAAATAATGAAATCGCGCTTCTGATGCATACTCATTTCATCCTCTGATTTAGTTCCTTTAAGGTAGAAGAAAAGAGTTGGGTTCCACTTGTTACTATAGTCAAACAACTCCTTTGTAAACTCTTTCTTAGCAGGATCCTGTAGAATTTCATACAACCAAATTAAATTAGTTCGATAATTTTATTATGAAATGTCAGACCACAATATCACAGCATATTACGAGATTAAATTAGAATTATTGTAAACACATAGAATTAATTATTACCTCAGGGAAAAGTGAAGGCCCTTCGAAGTGGGCATCGATGTATTTGATCAAGTCTAGACTCTCTCCGATGATCTTGTTGTCGTGCTCTAAAGCAGGTACCTATGATCAACGATTCAGCATTATGATTTTTGTAAGAGAAAAATGGAATGAAATAGGAAGAAGAAATGGAATCTTAATTTGACATGCAAATTAATCACCTTATTTTCTGGGTAGACCTCTTTGTACCAAGTTGGTCTATCATCTAGATCAATTGGAACTAATTGGATTATATCATGTAATCCCTGAAAAGTTGTAAAAGAAACTTTAATAATCAATCATAATCTTTGAAGAGAATTAACTTTCAAACGTCAGCAGTATTGTACGAACTCCCAAGTATTTTATCAATTGAGCTAGTTGATATCCAGATAACAATGCGAAAGTTGACAAATGAGAGAACGTGGTGCATGGAACGTAAAGTTATGATGTCAAACCTTGTAATTTCGCGCTAACCAGGCACGTTGGGCAAAAGGGCAGTAATAGGTTGTGTACAACCTGTTGAATTTTTAAATATATGTTAGGAGTAAAATCAAGATATCATTTTGAAATTGCGTAATTAAATGCTTAAAACCTTTAAGAAGTATATATATGTATATCAACCTGGTGGTTCCGTCGAAGAAAGAAGGTGGTTCAGAGTTGGAACCCAGGAATGGTGGAAGAACTTCTTGAGTTACTCTGCAAATATAACAATTCATCATAAAAATTAAACCAAAAAAAGACAAGTTTTCCTAGAAAACAAAGTTGCAAAAAAGGTCATTATTATTACTGTGTAGCCATTGATCGATGATGAAATTGAACTTAAGAATAATATTTGATATTGGATCAAAAAGTTTTGAGATGGAGAAATAGTACTTAGATATGATTCCAATATTAGCCCCTTCTTATACTTATTTTTAAGATAAACTTTGACCAAAATTCAAATTTATAAAAATAGTATATCTTTGATCTTATTTGACCAGGAAATTAAATTATTTTCTCTATG